TTTTGACAAATATGAATATGATTGCACAGCTTTCAAAGGTAACTTCATCGATGAGTAAGGTTTTGATCACCGAGTCGTTTTTTCAAATTTACACAAATAAGCGGAAACTGGAGAGAATGGTATAAGTGTTTATTAAGTAGTAGAATATATCTCAGGCCTGACAGCAGATAGAGAAAACAGTTGGCATCCATTTGGCCTTTCCAGTTTCTCTATTTTTGTTGTTTTGTGATGACATTTTTTAACCAACTTGCTGCTAAGTCTGAAACAGGAGTTTTCATTTTGCGATCGCCACCATATAATAGTGACCTGATTTGGATGTCAAAGGTGAGGATGTTACGAATGAATACAAGAACAGGTATGTCGGATTTATTAACAGCGCGGGATACACTGTCAGTCTAAACACAGAACGCTACAATATTTATGAAACCATCAAGATGTGCACGGGCATTCAGGATTATTTATGTCAGAGGTGGGTGGGTGGTCAACACACACTAACAAAAGCCAAATACTTAATTTAATGTTCAGAGTAACCCAAAAAGAGTTTGTTGGTGTAGCAGTTATGTTTGATACAATGTAAATTCTCTCAGCAGAATCAATAGTCTGAGCAGTGTAGGCTATTGAGAAGGGATACACAAGTGATTATTCCAAATTCCAACTCGTGAATGAAAAGTACGCCTCTCATAATTTTATGCGATTTTTACGATTCAAGTGGAAAAGCTGTACAAGAATTGTCGATGCTTTTAGTGGGACGGACAACGTTTTATATGATTATCCTTACCAGCTGGTAAATGCTTCTTAGAAGAGCGTCTAATGAATAGATAATTACTAGATTTAGGTTTAGTAGACGTGTGTAGTTCTTTCTGAAAGTGACCAAGTAAAGTGTTTTGAGATAAGAGGTGGATAGTGTGTTGGTGTTTATTAAACTCACGGTATTTATTTAGTATTCATCTTCGATGGCAATTTGTTTGACACGACTTTTGGTTTGATATCATGTCGTAATTATCACAAAATCTTGAAATTGCTCACTATCCTAAATATTAACCAGCTACTGGCAAAATAACTTGCACTGACGATGCCAGTGAATCAGAACAGTAATGCTTAAGATGTGCTAAATGATTCTTTGTGCAATCTTTTGCAAGTCCATCAAGTATGATATTCAACGTAACTAGAAAAGTCTGTTTTCAGCGACGTAGTGTTGGCTTTTCAAGGTACATCAAGCAATATGGCCCTACACATGCACTGAATACTCTTCGTCACTCCTGTGGAAATGTGGTCAGTGTAGCAATTACTAGGAAAGGTTGGCACGAAGTAATTTCCAACCCACAGATTTGTGTTCCTCGGATGAATTACAATCTCCTCCACTGTATGTAGAGGTCAGATTGATTGAGCACGAAATACATTGGATGAAGCATGACAAACTACGAAGAAGTTCCGTTATTGCCAACTTGGTGTACCGTATCGGTGAGATGAGCAACTACGGAGATACGTAACTCTCTATCCAGTCAGTTGATGAGAAATATTTGAGAAGAGTATATTATTTTACTCAGTTCTTCGTTTCTTTCCTGATTTTAGTGTGGACTTTTGAATTATTATGAATCCATCAGGCATTGTCTACTGAACTTATCTGGCTCAAATAACAAAGCTGTCGCAACAAATCTTCAATTGCTTGTAAGTGCCAAACTCTCCATCACGTTCATGTCACTTCAAGAATATCAAACGTAATATAAAACGTAAAATAAAAATCGCAAACATTCCTTCTTTCATTTTTTGGGATGATTATATTTCTTGACTAATTTTTTTCGTGCTACTGGAATAAGTAGAATTATCGACAGTAAACGTTAGTCTATTTCCCGATATTTCCGAAAGTCAGTCTAGGACCGTATGTCTTTTAAGAGTTTTTGAAACAAATGCGCATACTGACGCATGTTATTCTCCTGAAATAAATTAAGGGCAATTTTTTTCTGGGTTATTGAGAGAAAATTTTATGGCGGATCTATGGGTTTTGGGAAATTCGGTAGGGCTTTTCATAGAAATCTGAAGGTAATTCAGGAGACGTCTACATTTGGGGGAGAGTGGAAGTGCTCCATTTCCTCTAAATTTCCACATTAGGTTGCTCTAATATTCCACACCAATCCCCAAAATTGCCTTCAGTTTTTTTATTTTAGCTTATGATCGTGGTATATATATATATATATATATATATATATATATATATATAGTATAATTTCCGATGTGCTTGCAAAAGACTGTGATAACAGTGAGGGAATTAGCTTTAGTATTGTTGTGTGTACGGTCTAGCGTCTAATCACTCCCCATTGGATAAGTTTATTTGACATAACAGTGACACGGTATTGAAAACTAGCCTAATTTTCAAGCCTAATTTTCGTTCATAATCTCACCGGTATATTCACGTGACTTCTTAACTTGTTTTTTATGGTTTTACTTCTTGTTATTAATTGCAATTTTCCGTATATTCAGAGTTGTGTTATTTCAATTGCACTTGTTTGGAGTTTATTTGGTGGTTAACCGCTTGACTTAACTACATTGCTTTTTAATACTCTTACTGCATTCCACGCTATTGCGATTACATGCATCTAAATGCATTGCAATGGCCAGACTCTTTACGTTAGTTTCTTTCCTAAATTAGTGGGGTCAGTCATTCTGGATATCTAGCTACATCCGTATCTTCCAGTTATCTAACTAACTCCAATCTACTACTACTACTACTAGTGTGTTTATGTAATTGACCTCACAGTGACCACTTAATATTTGGTAAGTTATGTTAATTTGCCTGATTGGGTTTATTGGATTTTTAAGATTAATCAGCAGATATTGTCACTCTAATTCCAACCTTATTAAGAATACTATTTAGGCAATCTGATCCTCCTTCTTTATGTAGTAGTACTATCGATGCTTTGAGTTCCTTTTTAATATTTTTTTTAACTACTTATATCACCACTTCTATCAATCTTATGGGTCTTAATACTTTTCTAAATAAAATCTGGTGGATATTCATTGGTAATGTTTTCCTTATTTGTTTGACTTGATTATTTAAATCGTGATTTACTAGTCAGGTTGTTGGCTCGATTACATTAAAATTTGATAAGACGCCCTAGTCAATTTTAGGTTAGGTGAATCAATGTTTAAGTCCCGACCGAAAGCTGCTACCTTGACGTGGTGGTCGGGCTTGAACACCGCAATGACCTAATCAAGCTATGCTGGCTAAGACCTATGTCTCTTGAGGTCCTACCATGCCAGAAAGGTTGTTTGGATAGCGGTTAGACAAAAAGCAGCTACCCAATCCAACACTATGATACATACAAACTCACAAAATATCGTGCCGGATCGGCTGGGGTCCGGATTAACAACGACCGCGCTTCCTGCTGCCGTGTCACAGGGCAGGAGTGATAAATATGCTACTGAGACACACCAAACAATAACGAACAAACAAAAGCAGGCCGCGTGTGACCGGCCTCAAGCAGTTGTCCCCTGGGCTCTGCGGTCACGCAACCAACTTCCACGGTGTGGGCAGCCGGGAAGTAACAATCGCCCTCACAATCTGAAATGCACAAGAAAGCTGCTACCTTGACAGACCATGTTTAAGTACTTATCAGAATGTGAATTTTTTATGGATGATAGTATATAACCCACGATCCTTTTTTCACTTTATTTTACGTTTTAACATAGGTAACACTGTTTATTTTCTAACCCGAAATTAAGGCAAATTCCATCTACCACTCAATGGTAAGTAGAACTCTTCACTGGAACCCCTACATATTGTTGGTTTAAATTATCTTGAATATTAGAGAGTTGTATATTTTGGTGTATTGAATCACTAGCAAGATATAGAGAGCTTGATCCAGACAAAGCTATCAACTCGAATTAAATGTCTATCAATATATGATTCATGAATAATTGAAAATTTTTCATTTAACGCTTAACGATTATAAAATTCTTTGAGAGTTTTAGCCACAGTTTGGATGGCACTATCGTTAGTAAAACTCCGGCCACTGTTCTTTTTATTCAGCCAGTAAAATCCTTTTTCTGATTTATATTGATAACGTTACCCTTAGACTCAAAATTTTCTTTGTTCTGCTGAGTTGTCTTGTGTCATTTTTAAGTTGGTGCACTAGTGCTCCAAACCCTCCATAATTTGTCGCAATTTTGTTTTCAAAGAAAAATGGACCAGATCAACAAAACGCATGATAAAACACCCATCAGTATCGGTAACCCTTTTATTGGAAAAAATCACTCGAAATGTATACACTACACACATTACTTTGTATGCACACGTGTGTCTATTCGTGCAATCTCATAACATTACAAACAAGTTCCCGCGATACAAGAATTCTAAGTTTATCGATAGTGAAACTATTTAAGATAACTGACTGCTACTAATGTACTGGACGATGATTGGGGAAGAAACTAAACTCTGGGTCGTAGCAGTTTCCGAATCAGTGGCCTCTAAGTTATCAGTCTCGTACTCCACCATCTGAGCTGTGTGTCCCAACTGCTAAATAGGTTAGCATGTAATCTCAATCACCACTTAAAATGCTCAGCTGGTGAACAGATAGCTACATATCAGCCATTCACATGGCAGCTATCTGATCCATTTGATGGTTAAAGTCAATGATGAACGGGTTAGCAGCCGGAGCCGGAGACCACCGATTTCGATCCTACTACCACCCAGACTTAATTCACCCTCACTCACTCCCTTTTACACCAATATTTTGATTTCGTCTCTAGTTCACATGATGAGCTAATATAGTACACCTTCAATTTTAAGTAGTTTCCTCTTTTTAAATGAAAACTAAATTATGATTCTTTCATGTATCTTATTGTAGGTTCCAGTATGGCTAACTCGAACATGATCGGAATACATTTTTTAAAGCTGTGAAAAGTTTGCTGTCAGTTCTATTCCCATCCCTTGAATAACTTTCACAACATATCAATTCTGTATGTATGTGTGCAAGTATTTATTAAGCTGAGTATCAATTCATATGGCTTCTTTTCAAAAGGCGCTTGAAAATCTCAATGAAGGTACTGTATGCATCTGTGTCTGTGTCAGCCTTTGGTTGCTGTTGATCGCTGCTAGAATGGACAATATCTTAATGATCCCTTATTGGGCAATATTTCTACCACTTTGGTTATGGAAAACGATTGTTTTTGTTGGTTGGTTAGTTGGTTTAATAGTTTGGTGTAAGCATTGGAGAATTCATGTCGATGATTTAGACCGTAGTTCTTTTGTTGTTAATGAAGATCCTGCTTTACCTTATATTCAAGCAATGTCTGTATCAGCATTTTTCCATTTTCTTATCATGTGTTCTGAAGTGTTGTTATGCATTCATCTCTCAGTTGCATCATCTAATCTTACCTACCTGACTATTTTGTCACCATTGTTAGTTGTAGGCACTTTAGGAGTGTTCGGATTTCTTTTTGTTATGATCGACTCAAGAGCGACGTTCTCAGCAAATTCACGACGTCGAAGACAGCATCAAACAAGGTCTTTAACCAATAACACTAATAATAACAATAGTCCAGATCCTTTTGTTGTTATGCCACGTTCACGTCATGTATGCTCTTTTACACTGGAATTGTGCATTGCTGCTAATCTGCTACAACTTCTTTTTTTGATTGCTCGACTTGACAGTTGGATTCGTTCTAACTGGATTGTTACCTTTATTCCCTCGTTCATCTTGTTAGCGATGGGGTTTTTATTTTGTTTAGCAGGACTAACTGTTGCACTGATTACATATTTTACAGCTTTTTTTATTCCTGTAGCTCAACGCAGATTATCTGTATGTTATTATGCTTCACATTTATTAGTAGTTATTTTCCTGTGTACTTCACTGATACTGTTAGGCTTAAGACTTGATGGTTATCTTTCTGCTTCAAAAGGCAGTGCATTATTAATGTGTATTCCTGTATTAGTCAGTATGTTCTTGTATGCTTCATTATCATCTGGTCCTGGAAATCCGTGGTGGTTTGGATTGAACCGTAATGTACTCCTTGCAATATTTGAATCTTGTCCAACCTTACAACTTTGTGCCAATAATCGTATTAGTAAAACTGGTTTATGGAGAATATCTCGATATCATGGGCATAATGGTGATGTGAATAATACAACCACAGCAACAACAACGACAACAGTGAATTCCTATCACTCGAATGCACCAGATGTTCAGTTGTAAGTCTTTGTAAAATCATAATTATATTTCATTCATTTAAAAGTGTGCGGTAGTTTTATTGAAATTGAGATTAAGGTTTCAGACAGAATTTTATCGTTACAGGATTTCATCATCAGCTGACATTAGTCAGAGAACCATTGGAAAATCTGGGATTACTGAACAGCTGTTTCTGTTGTCCTAGTTTGGGAATCTGCATCAGTACGCATCCACCGCGGTTCGAAGCTAGGACCTTCTGGTTACAAGGCGAGCTCGTATACCATTAAACCACTGGGACCAGATCCAATGGCCCATGAATTCTAACTTCTGCCAATTCACAACATAGCGCGACCCCTAGCCAATGTCTTCGGCGAGTATTTGTCCTCACACCCGACCAGCTGCACCCTACCGGTCACGACTACTTACTAAAACCCCAAGTAACTACCTACCTGAATAAAGCAAGTCGCTAGTGAGCATCGTGTTTAAATATATTTTTTTAGGATTTTGCGTTGTTCAGTTTATTATGCGGAATAGCTTGACATCTATTAGCACATAGCTCATTGGTCGGGATTGTCGAATTTCCACTAGTGACCGAATGAGTTTCTACATAGAACTTTGCACAGAAGTGCATCATTTCGAGTTTCCACACTCCACGTGGCACACAACGGTAGACAAAAGAGAGTAATAAGCAGATATGTCCAGGGAAACGGATGGTAACATGGGGAAAATGAGGGTTTAGTGGATATGGGAGATCTGCGCCACTGAGAACGATTTTGCGCCATATCACCAATTGTTTCCAGCCATTAGTTCTTAGCATCCAGAGGACGCCAAACAGACATCCTATCCCTCCCTGCATGGCTTAAACTAACTGTCAAATTTCATGGATTGATCCCAAGTTTTGGTTTGACCACCACTGGCACTTTCGCGACCTGACCCTATGTCAGCTAACACTACCCGTCAATGAAGGCGGTGGCTCGACACACAGATACACAACACAAGTCGTAGTCATCTCAGTCAAATTGGCTTCACAACCTTATCGATCGACTAGTAGGTCACGTGTCATATTAATTCTTTATCTGGTGGAATTAAGCGGTGTTTTCAAGCTCGGTTCGTTCAATATAACCGAACACCAATTGCCTGGACACACATTTAGTTAGTGAAAGAAATAAAAAGAGTTGAAATAACGATTTCCTTGTAGTTTCACTTCGATATTGCGTCTAGTTACAAATGAATGTTACAATCACTTATTAAACTGCACTGGAAGATAACTCTTTATAAGTGTAAAAAATTTGTTCTATATACTATTTAAGATAAAATCGTCATAACAGGGTGAACAAAAATTTTATCTGTAGTTCATATGCTGATGAAATGAAGTGCAAATTGCTTAACTTTAGATGTACTCATAATAGTAATAATATTTGCAACAATAATACCTGCATTATTCTCAACAGCATTTTTGAAACAGTATGGGTTTTTCAGCGTTTTAACACTGCAACAAATTTGCTTAATCCCTATAAGAAATATCTTCACAAGAAAGAACTACATAGGGATTAATTGCTGTTAGTAGCATTATAAATGTGGACACTAATAAATAAGTGCATTGTCGGAAGTTGGAATTCATGGGCCATTGGATCGCGTCCCGGTGGCTTAATGGTCTACGAGTCTGCCTTGCAACCGGAAGTTCCTGGGTTTGAACCCTGGTGGTGCGGGTGCTTACTGATGAGGAGTCCCAAACTAGGACAACAGAAACAGCTGTCTTGTACGACCAAGTGTTTCAATGGTTCTCTAACCGATGTCAGCTCATGATGAAATCCTTTAACCAGTCAAGTCTTTGCAAAACAACATTTGGATAAATAAGTGATTGCAAGTAAAAACATGATTATTTATGTATAGATTAGAAAGTTAGTAAATTGGTTCTGTTCTTATATATCTCCCGTCACATAAGATGCTTACTGAATAAAGTATGGGGTTAAAGTATTGTTTTTAGTCGTGCTGTGCAAGCAGTAAAGTTCAGTGGAAGTTCTAATTAGTGTAAAATAGTCTCTTGATACGTTTAGGAAAGCGGAGAGCGGTAAAATACATAAAGATGGGTAGAATAAAAAGACACATTTCAAATCAAGTGTCTGATTCATATTAGAGAGTTTGAGCTGCTTTATGTATTAGATCAGATGAATGAATAACAAGGTATGAGACAACCATTGAGAACCAAAAGAGAAACTAGTACCAGGGTAGGTAATAGGATCATGGATTTTACAACTTCTATGGGACTAAATCACTCCAGACTAGTTTTAGTTATCTCTGGGACTGACATAAACAGGTTGATATACACAGGGATCTATAGGAAAATGTTTATATGAAGAACATTTTTATGACCAGTCATATGAAACAAAGACTGTTTGATCATCCACAGACTTAATGAGACTAACTTTTGAAGAATAGGGAAAGTCTTTAAACTAGCAACAGAAATGGAGGAAGTACATGCACAATTAGTGTGACATAAACTGTTAAATTAAAAGTATGTTTCAGGTAACAAAGTTCTAATTGAAAGAATTAAACCGACTCACTGAAATATACTTTTTGTAAAAGTGTTAACATAAATTTGAAGTTTTTGCCAGGTAAATAAAGTATTTGTCTTTCAACCCTAATATACGAAGTTTGAGTGGTGTAAAAATCTGAATTCAATTACTGAAATTCCTCGTCTTTCTCTCTGTAATTCACTTCAGGTTTTCAGTTGACTCAAACAAATAAATTTTGTTTTTTAATCAAGCAAGAGCAACAATTTTCGCAGAATAGAATGGTACCATAATTCATTTCGTTGACTTCTCATCAGCTGCTTAGAGCCTAAAGACCATTATTAAGCATATCTACAGAAGCAATTTTAACACGCACAAAATTCATTTTTAAACGAAAAAACAACCAATATATGCATACAATGCTAATAATGATAATCACTTTATGCTGGACAATAATGACCATACACAATGGAAACTTTCGACGTTACGTAATCAGATGAAAGAGAGAGGGAAAATATCTAGTTGCCAGACAGGGCAAGGAAAGACTGATAACCTCTTCTTTCTGAAGGCATAAATCGGGTTTCAGGTGCTGGTTGGTAGAAGATAGTAGTCTCCAGAAGTCAATTTACTGAAAGCCCACGTGGAAAGGACAATACCTACATATTAATAGTTTTTGTCCAAATAGCTTTAAACGAGAACTAGTCAAGACTCTATACTATATAGCTAAGAGATTATGCTCGACAGAGAAATTGGAGCAAGAATTTATGTTTCTCAAACAGATGTTGAGAGGCAACGGTTACCCTCAGAGGTTCATTAACAAATACGGAAGATTTGAAAACTCAAATGTCAAGCAAATCACAGTGGAAAAGTCCATCTACATTCAGTTTCATTTTAAAGGTGAAAATATTACAGCAATTCTCATCAGAAGATTGAGAATGTCACTAGACAGAGCCTATCCTGCAGCCAAGCTGGTTCCAGTCTATCGAACAACTTGCTCTTTGGTAAAATTAAAAGTTGACAGATATCCTTCTCATGTTAGCTTCAACTGTGTAGACAAATTTACATGTGTTGCGGGAGCAGTTAGATTGGAAGAACAGAAAGAAGAAAAGCATACCTCCGATTTTCTGAACATGTACCAAAAAGCCTATGTCTAAAGGGAACAAATGCTTACAATAATGTCATTGCCAGACATCTCCTTGACATAGCTCATGAAGTGGGCGTCGCGAGATCGTTCAAAATATATATAGGCAAAAGAGTTCAATTCTGCTTAGGTTTGTCGAAGTAATCTCCATCAAGCGCCTGAAACCTGATTTATGCGTTCAGAAAGAAGAGGTTATCAGTCTTTCCTATCCCTGTCTGGCAACTGGATATTTTCGCACTCTCTTTCTCTGATTACGTAATGTCCAAAGTTTCCATTGTGTATGGTCATTATTGTCCGGCATAAAGTGATTATTATCGTTATTATTATTATTATTATTAGCATTGTATTCATATATTGATTGATTTTTCGTTTAAAAAAGAACTTTGTGCAAGTATGTTATAATTGCTTGTGTAGATATACTTAATAATGTCTCTAGGCTGTAAGCAGTTGATGAAAAGCCAACGAAATAAGTGATGGTATCATTTTATTCTGCAAAAACTGTTGTTCTTGCTTTATTCAAATTCATTAAGGGGAATAAATGTATGAGAAATTGTGTTTTCTGTTTCTCTTGACAAATAATCAGTGCCTATAATAGTTGATATTACTAATTAAAGTGTTATATGAAATAAGTGGTCATTTAAGAAAAAACAATATCACCACTGATATATACAGTCGTACACTGGAATGGATGTGACGTGTAAAACATACCAACTTATTCTGGGAATCACGTTTTTAATGAGAACGATCCTTCTCTGGTGTAATGAATTATCGTCGTTATCATATCAGTGTTCATATGGTCTATTTCTTCATCATTTCAGGCACTTATTATGACACGCCTAGTGTACTTATGGTATTTATGTGGGGATGAGGGAGATTTCTGTCTTACCGATAAAGATATCTTTAATACTAGTTGGGTCTGCTTAAAGAATGACATTTAACTCTTGTTTATATTTAATTTACCCTCTATTATTGATTAAAATTTACAAGTTGAAATAAATAGATGGGTGGATTTATTTTCTCTAGTGTATTGTATGTTTACTTAGCCTCTAAACAACCTTATCATCCTTAACATCTTTTTTTTTCAGCGTTACTCCTTCACCGCCTATTATTCTCAATCCATCTAATAATTCCGAGGTTTCTTCTAATCCGCACAATATAAAAACTTGTCCAAATTGTACAATTGGTTGTTGTAGTTGGTGTTCAACAAATAACCCGAAGAATATCAACTGGCCAAATGCTAGCCTTACAACAGATGCTTCTCATTTTCACAATTCCTATTATCATTCAGAGCGTCTACTTCATCCTGATTAGTTGCTAATTAGTGATGTCGTCGCATACTTGCAAAATATTATCCTACTTTCTTTTTGTTATTGGTGTTGTTGTTGTTAGCCGTTAGTTTAGTCCACCTATTTATGACTTGTATTCATATATACCTACGTACATTTTATATTAACAAAGCATTTCACCCTGTCACTTGTTTTTGTATATTCTTGTTTATCTGCGTAATTTATTCTTTCATCCTACTGTGTATACTGTATGTATGTAGTGACTAGTGTAAGAGAAATACTTCAGGCTGATTAGTCTCCTGTTGGTTTCTTTTATTTATTTACTTAATACTCTTATTTAATTTTAGCTCATATTATTGTATTATTTCATTATTGAAAGATTTAAACTAAATTGTAAAGTAGTTTTTTGGCGCCATATTCAAATATTTCTGTCCCTCGTCTATTCTGAATTGATCCATGTTTGCTTAAACGTATATTCAAGATGTATACTCGTAAGACAGTTGATATTTCAGAGTTGAAATGGTCTTGTCAGTTTTTTTTCTTATCATTATTGTACACTTACGGTTTGTTGTCACATTAATATATGAAGCATATAGAGTGTGTGTGTGTGTGCGCGTTTGTATTTAGTTAGTCATATTAATTTATTTGATGTATTTATTTTGTGATACTACTTCATTCATGCAACTAATACTAATTTCAACAATAATAATTATTATTATTATTTGTATAAATTACTTACTTTCTTTCTTTCTCTCTATCTATCTATCTTAATTTATTTAAAATGGTATTCCATCACTTTTTAATTGACTTTATCGACTTATTTTTAGTAAAAGAGGATAAGAAATCTAACGGTATTGAAAATTAAACACTTTATCATTTGTTTAAATACTAACTTTACGTGTCTTCTGTTGTTGTTACTTGTGATAGCGGCAATTTTAAAAGTCAAGGTAGCAAGCGGTATTACTTCTACCACTTCTACTTCTACTATTAGTAGTATATTATACCTATGTTGTATTATAAATGTAGAGTGTTTAGTCTTAGTCTCATAATTGTTTGTTGTAAACTTGTTAACTTACTTTTCATTTCCTCCTTCTGTGTATGGTACGTATGAAGTGCATAGAAGACAGTAAAGAAAACCAGCATGTATAAGATGAAACTAGTAAAAATACATAAATGTGATAAATCTTAATTTATTGATTTGTTTTAATGGGGTAATTAAAATGCTCCTAGCCCTGGGCGGAATGTTTAATAAGAGATTAATTTTTAAACTAAGTGTTAAACGATGCATGAATCACTGAAGTAAAATAACTTTCTGTCTTGGAAAACGATTTTAAGTCCTATTATTTCCTAGTCATCTTATGATATTTATTAGTCGTGACTATTAAAGCTCCTTGAAACAATCTATCTATAGTTTTCTCCCTTAGGGTATTTTTGCATTTCTTCATTGATCTAATGTGACCACTATTTTGATACATTGTAGATGTATACGCTCCCTCATTCTTAGATTTTATCCATACTACTTAAAATGCTGAAATATGATTGAATAAATAGTTTGAGAGGTTGACTTACCCATTCATACCTTATTAATATTTCATATATAAAATGGGAGTAGTTCAATGGATTTGACTTAATAATGTATGTGATACCATGCAGGCTGCCCATATCGCATTTAGTCAAATGACGGTCAGTGCTATATGCTTTACGCCGTCTAAGTGCAAAGTACTGTTAGAAGATTGGCAGGAACCAGTAGCTGCACACACACTTGAGAGCTAGGGCAGCATAAGTCAATTTGAGCCACCTCTGGTGCCGTCGCGGGGTCAGTCTGGCTGTCTAACATCAGGTTATAATGCTTCGGTGCGTTTAGTCTTGCTCTATGCCTGTGAAATCTGGCCTTTCCGAGCTGAGGATGTTCGGCGGCTATGGGTATTCAGTCATCGCTTGCGTTCGATGATATCAATGTGTGAGTAATTTTGAGGCCCGGAAGCGTGTGTTTGAGCACAGTAAAGATAACCACTCATTGAATGTCGTTATCTGGAAGCTCCGAATCCGTTGGCTTGAACATGTGTTACAAATGTCAACCCAAGGGCTTCCGTGCTGATCTCTGTTTTTTAGTCCTGAGACTGGATGTAAAAAGCGGAGAAGTGGTCAACCTATGACGTGACGTCGTGGGATAGAAGATATTTGTGTTAGGTTAGTGTCATTTAATACATCATGACTCCTCGGTTGGGGTCCAAGAGATAGGTCGAATCGGCTTTTCTTTACATTATCAGATATGGTTGAAAATCGCATTCAATGGAGAAAATGCTGTAACTTCCATCTTTCTTCCTTTTCTGAAAGTAACATGAAGTAATGAATGTTGAATAATCTTGACCAATGTGCATGCTTGCATTCTGAATGACGTTCCTCATTCATTCTCCACTTATTTTCTTTATATATTGTTTTAATATTATTGTATGACGCATCTTCTTGGTGCCTATATTGTACCAAGTTTATGTTTTGAATAAGCAGATTCAGTGAACATAAAAGTGTGAATTCACCATATGATAATAATGTTAGCTTTCCTGATTCAATATTATACAACACTTTACATAGATGGTAATGTAATGCTATTAAGGTTTTCACTCGTACTTATTAGTTATTAAGTATGTGTCTTTACTTTTCACCAAAATATTCAATGTCATGTGTTCTAGAAAAAGAATGATTTCAAATAGCATTCTGATGGGGCTTTATGTTGTACTGGAGTATCAAGTGGTTGAAATTAGATAGGAACTCTTTATCAACTACTGTCAGTCTAAAGTGTATCGTGTATAATCCATAATTTCGTTGCCAAGGCGATTCGTTTCAACGTGGTGACTAGACAAACATATTTTTGGTAGTTATTGTTGGGAATTAAAATAGCGTTGGTTTGTAGGGATTTGATTGATTTGTTACAGGATTTCATCATGAGCTGATATCAGTTAGAGAACCACTGGAAAACCTGGGAGAACTGGACAGCTGTTTTGTCTCAGTTTGAGACTCTTTGTTAGTACGCATCCGCACCGCTAGGGTTTGAACCCAGGACCTTCTGGTATATGGCCAGCTACCTCGTATACCACAAAGCCACTAGGACCCGATCCAATAGCCAGCCCATGAATTCTAACTTCTGCCAATTCATGACGTGGCGCAACCTCTTCGGAATGTCTTCTTCAATGAGCTACTGCCTCAACCTACTGTTCCCTACTGGTCACAGCTTCCCACTAGAACCTTAGGCAACTGCCTGAATAGGACCAGTTGCTAGTGTGCATCAGATTAGTTTTCAAGTAATTGTTTTGTAAGGATTTTGTTTGATTGGTTAGAAGATTTCATCATGAGCTGACATCAGTTGGGGAACCGTTGGAATTCCCTTTGCAACCAGAAGGTCCTGGGTTGGGGTGGGTGCGTACTGTGAAGAGTCCAAAACCAGGATGAAACAGCTGTCCAGTACTTCCTGCAGGTTTTCCGATGTTTCTCTAATTGATATCAGCTAATGATGAAATCCTCCAACCAATCAAACAAAATCCTCACTAAAACCAATACTTGAAAATCTTGTTCTATATATTCAGTGCAACAGCTTTCCTTGCTGTTGACAATTATTTTCATGCTTATCTGCCATCTAACTAATCTTAGATAGGCAATAATACCTTCCTTTTCAACCATAGATTTGATTTCAGTAACTGAATAGTGTTTTGTTAATCCAGTGAAAGTTTATTTGGCTTTCTCGTAATATATATTATTCTATTGTGTTTCAGTACTTTGTTAACACGTTTAGAAACCTCAGTGGTGCTGATTTCAAATTAAATAGTTTTTATATTTATCTATTTAAAATTTTTCGTATGCTTCACCTATTTTTTGCTCATTTACTGGAAATAAGTTTTTTTGTCTTGCTACTTATATGTTGAATTAATCTATGAGACTACCCAAAGTTGTCTATACTATTTATTAGTGTACTTACCATATGTGAATTAATGTCTAAACAAAGAAAGAACGAACATACTCGTGAGATAATACAAGCGCTTTTTATATCCTAGATTCTTTTCAACTGCGTACATCCAAAGTAGCATCGAACGGAATATAAGTCACGAAAATTCTAAACATACTTTTCTCACAGTGACATCAAATTACAGATAGGTAACATAATTCCGTGGTGTAAGTAGACAAAGTATTCAGCGTATTTTGTACCCAGTCATTCAGTTTTTTTTTTCTAGACAAAATCAGAACTCTACCGACCCGCAAACCCTCACCCCTATTGTTTAATTATACTGTGGTGAGGGCAGGCTGCTAGCCAACTGGTAGACATTAATTTACGTCAATGTCTGGGTCACTAATATTGGCCGTGAGAAAATATGAACAAGGCTGATTCAACAACCAATCACAGCAGACTTAACGTGGGCAAATATGATTCGTAAATATATGGCTTAACTTTCTGAGGAACCAGAAACAACCAATCAGAAGACTGTGTTTGTCTGCTTGAATAAGCTGTAGTGATGTACATGAAATATATATAAATACGTGCTGATTCCCGTAATAAAAACGATCTGTTGCCGGCTCTTGTCTTCTGTTGTTACAATAATATAAATAGTTAATCTTTTAACGTTAAACACTTGTCTATTTAAATCATTTCAAGATTATTTTGCTTATACTTTCTATCTAATAACTCAAAGTCACTCTGTAACTTATATTTCTATACTGTTTAGTAGATATGCAGTTGAAAAGAATCCAGGCAATAAAACAAACCCGTATAATTCCACGAATATATTCTCGTTCTTTCTTTGTTCAAATTGATCAGGGAAATTGGTTGTATGAAATGAATTCGTTTTCAAAATTATTATTTTTTTCACTATCAAGTGTCGATATGGATTTGTATAGATCAAATGGCAACACTATTACTGATATATGATGTTATATTTAAGTCACTTTTAATTACGATTAATTTAAGGTTTTAGATTTTACTCATTTGGAACTTCATGTGATATAGTACGAATTACAAATCGATTAAAAGCATCAGGA